TGCGGGTTTTTCTCTCTTTTCGTTTTGTGTCACGCTTATAAGTTATAATTTTGCCAAAATTTTAGCTTCGCTATCATCCAAAGATTTTTTACTGCTCCAGATTTTGGCTTGATTATTCAAAAAAATTGAACTCAATTTAAGAAAGGACATGTCTGTCTCAAGAACGTGCTACTACGGTGCGAGCATGCCCTCCAATTCATTCAGAGCGCCAGAGGTCCAGTTGTTGCCTAGGAGTAGCAACACGACGCTAAAAGTAACCTGGCCCATCATCTCGAATTTGCCTATTGCTTTTGAACGCGTGAAGATGTGTTGCTAGATGAGATGCAGTAGAGGAGAGGCCTCCAGTATAGGACAATGGGGCTACGATTAAAAAAAACGCCTTGAAACCCGTGCTCCTTGCTCTTGTTCATGGGCCTTGTTTAGATCCTATTAAAATTCTAAGTTTTTTTATTCTCTTTTAATCACATCAATTTTTGGACACATGCATAAAGCATTACATATAGGTAAAAAAAAATAATTAATTACATAGTTTGGTTGTAAATCACGAGACGAATCTTTTGAATCTAGTTAGTCCATGATCGAACAAAGTTTGTCAAATACAAACGAAATATGCTACAGTATCTGAATTACAAATTTGTAATCTAAACATGGCCATGCTGTCCAAAGTCTCTCGTCCTGATGCTGAGCAGACACCCGCATATACTTTCGGTGCGTGCCAGAGGCCAGACGGCGACAGGGGAGGCTTGCAGGTGCAGCAGGGCCAACCGGGCACGGCAGCGTGGTTCGGTGCGCGCGCGCGACACGCAGCTGCGGTGCCTGTGCCCTGCGCGGCACAGGGACGGGAGAATCGGAGCGGCGGTGCCAGAGCCAGACCAGACCGACGGCAAGCTGCAGGCGCGTCTTTGCGCGCCGCGGTTTCCGAGGAGCAGCGCTTGGCCGCACGCTTTGAAGCCGGTACCGCGTTAGGATGCGTGGCGCCGAGCTCAGCGCTTTGGGTTCTGTTGCCGAGGTCCTAGTCACGTAGAATTTTCTTTCATGCACGGTGAGACATCTCGATGTCAAAATTTGTGGCGGCGCCAAGACTCATGACGCCGAACCCAAAGATACAAAGATAAATTTAAGTTATCAAATGTAAATTTTATTAAAAATTAGTTAAATAGTAAAAAAATTAGGATACTACGATCGTTCCTGCACAGCACATACCGATCTGCTCCAGAAAAAAAGATCTAAAAAACATGAAAAAGCGGCCTCATTAACCCGTAATATGATCCGTGCAAGAATCGGAGAGCGAAGATTTCACGCGCTCTCATGTCCAAATCCTGTGGACCGGCACAAATCACAAGCTTGTTACCAACTTTCGATGAGTACGTTTTAGGTAGAGCAGGGCAATTTTTTTGGTTTGCATGCACATGTACTAGTAGTAGAGGACAAAAGAAATGTTACATTTCCTTTCTACCAAAGTCATGCAACGGGATATCTAGCTCTTTACTTTTGTACCACCTCCGTTCTAATTTATGGTCTGATTGATAGAGATTCACCACTGCAAAAACTGAATCTAAATCTAGGATTCACCGTGGATCAGAAATCCACCAAGGATCTAACAGGAACTGTTTGGCTAATGCAATAGCTCCAGATCCACGCAAGGGCATTTTGGTTGGAATGCCCAAATTTGCCCTTAGGATAAGCCCCACATGTCAATGTCTTAACAAAGTTTCTTTGCTATGCCCCACATGACAGGAAGACAAAATGAAAAGAAAAAAACTACGCATTTCTGCTTCTTCGGCCGGCTCGGGTTTGAGCAGGGGAGGACCGACCAGTGGCCGAATCCCGGGCAGTGGAGGGCGGGACCGGCCGGCGAGGGGCGAGGGCATGCAGCCATGGTGTGCGCCGGGGCCGGCGGGACACGTGGGGGCAGCGGGGTTGGCTGGGCTCGCGGCGGCGCACGGCTAGCGTCGCGGGCGGGCGCGGCTCGCGGCTATGGGGGCGCGCGCCACTGTGGCGGTCAGATCACAGCCATGGGGCGCGGCTGCGACCACTGCGTCGGCCGGGTCGAAGCCAGCTCGCGCGGCGGGGGGAAGGGGAGAGTAGCGTTGGGCCGGCAGAGTGGGAGAGGGAGGCGCCGGTGTGGAGGGAGACGCTGGGCGCGCGCGGACGGAGGCTTTGCCTAGAGGCTCGGGTACTGATTATTATTCGGTATTAACCTGGGCGGGCGTTGAATAATAATCGGTATCCGAGCCCGACTCACCGGACCCGAGCCACGGGCGCTCCGCCGGTTCCTCCGTTTTTCTGCCGCACCCACCTTCCCTTTATCGTGTTTTTTTTTTCTGCCGCACCCTCATTGGAGCCCGACTGCACCTTCCATTTGATCAAGACATATCGTATACCAAAGTTGTATAAAACTTCATTGTTGAAACCTTTTTTCATTCGAGTTTATTTAATAGCCAAAATATTCAATATAAGATTATGTATAAAAAATTTATAATCTTATATATACTCACCGGTGTTATTGCTATTGTTATCGTTGTTGTTTGTTGTGGGTTGGAGTCTGCTATCCAACTGCCTCTGTGATTGGGCCTCCGTTAATCGATTCAGACCTCCTCTGTAAATGGCAATTAACAGTAAGAAGTTTTTTTTGGTTGTCCCAAGACATCATTGTTCTGAAGGAGCCTACTGGCTTGCTATCCAATCGCCTCCCTTAATAAATATACATCTCTGTGACTGTGTCAATCGATTGTGACCACCTTTGTAAACGGCAACCAAGAGTTATTAGAGACAGACGTCTTGGTCCCATCTAGAAATAAGAAACACCGACTGGTCTCTGAAATCCATTCTGTACTAGTGTTAGTCAAGCACTACCAACCAAGACATCTTTGGCCGTGTTTAGTTGGAGGCCGGATTCGGCGCCGTCGGATTCGGCAGCACTGTTCAAACACTGTAGTATTTTGTTTTTATTTGGTAATAATTGTCCAATCGTTGACTAATTAGGCTCAAAACGTTCATCTCGCAAAGTACAACCAAACTATGTAATTAGTTTTTAATTTCGTTAACATTTAATACTCCATACATGTACCGTAAATTTGATGTGACGGAAAATCTTCTTTTTGTATAGTGCCAAATTCAGGAAAACTGGGGAACTAAACATGGCCTTTATCCTAAAATGGCCTGCTGGGCCATCCTACATTGTATTCGAGTCAACGGTTTCAATGGGAACCCAGTAAAGGCAACTCCAACCAGCCCCTTAAAATTTAGCCCTCTATTTTCAAAAATAAAGAACTCTCAACCAAATTCAAACCCTCATTTCTCTCTGTTCTTCAACCGAACTCTTATTTCACCAACATCATTCTTTCTGGGGGAATGAACTACCTGTTCTCTTGAACTTATCAGCCGGCTTATCAGTTAGAATCTACAAGTATTTGTCTCTCACAACAAATCAGCCAAGGTTGGCTTATCAGCCGGCTTTAATACCAGTCGAACAGGCCCAAAATTTCTAGTCCTCTTCTTGGTTTCCGAGGAGGAGTACAATGTTCAGCAACTTATTTAACATGTGTTTCAACTTGAAAGTCATCAAAACACAAATCATTGTTATCCCCATTGTCTGAGAGCAAATCAACCCAACTCTCCATTTGTTCTTCCGAAATATAGGAATCGACTATATTAACAAATTAACCACAACCTTTTTATTAAAAAAAATCAAGCACAAACCAAAATTAATTAAATAATATCAGTCTTTACTTCTCACCATACTCTACATCTTACGCTCACAGCACTCGCTCTCTCTGTCTTCACTTTGCAGCGTTCCCTCTCTCTGTTCGTTGGTTGGTTTCTGGGCTGCTGGTTTACTATGAGAGAAAAACACTGTTGGCGGGCGTTTTTCGATCTGCACCAACAAGTGAACAGGTGTCTGTCTTCACTCTCCAACCCACGGCGGCGGCACAGCAACGCACGGCAGCAGCGGCACCGCAGGGCCGCACAGCAGCGGCACAGCAGGGCCGCGAGCAGCGCACGGCAGCAGGGGGTGCGACCTTGTTGGTCAGCGGAGGGCGACGCGAATCAGGGGCGCAGCAGCAGCCCAAGGCGGCCCAGCACGGGCGGCCGGCAAACGGCGGCGGCCACGCCGCCCAGATCTATGAGGTATATTTCCTATCCTCGTCTCCCATCCTTCTAGAAGCAGCCATGGATGACAAAGTAACCAGAAGAGGGGAACAGGCACGTACCAGCTCGGGCATGATATGAGTTCGTAGCCAATAAATAATTCATCTCCCTCCCCTCGACGCCGTCCGTGCTCGCTGGCGGAGGTCCGCCCAGCGGCGATGAAGACGGCGGCGGGGGGCCTCTTTCCCATGGGCTCTCTCCCCACCCTCGCCACCAGGGTTGTCACCATGGTAGCAATCTCGGTGGTGGCTGACTGGCTGGGTGGCGGGTGCTCTCCTGGTTCGGGCCGGTGGTGGCAGATCCGGCGACATGGAGGCCGGATCCGGCAGTCCTCGGTCCGATCCTTCGTTGTGGACGCCTGTGGCTGCTCGGGCGGAGGTGGCCCGTTGGGGTGGCGTCGGCGGCTGCATTCGCGTCTGCAACGGCCGAGGTGGACGTATCCGGCACCGACGCCCGCGGCATCCGGGAACATCGGCTTCGACCTCCGCCATGGCTCTGCCGTTCGTGCGGGGTGCGTGCCGCGGCAGCGTGCCTGCGCGCCAGATCTACGCCTGGGGGACGTGGCCGTGCTCCATAGGCACTGGGCGGCGGCATAAGCGTGCTGCGCCCTTCACGCCCCTTTCCCCCGCGAAGGCGTGGGCGGCGTGACGGCTTTTGCGGCGACTTGCGCAAGAGTTCAGGCCGTACCTGTTGCTGCTGGTGACGGGAGTGCGGCAGGCCGGATCCACGCCGGGGAACGGCGGATCCGGAGTCTAGCAACCGGATCTGCCCAGCTCAGACCAGGTGCTGTGCCTGCATCGAGGTGATGGCGGAATCATCTGTCGGAGATGTGCTTCCGTGCGACGGCCATGGAGAGGCGGCGCTGGAGATGCTTGTGGCTGGGCTCGGGTGTGGTAGCGGCGGCGGGAGGCCGCGCAGGCACAGCGGCGACCGGAAGGTCGCGCGGGTGCAGCGCGAGTGCGGAGGCCACGGGTGTGCAGCGGTCGTGCGGCCATGGTGCAAAGGCCGTGCGTGAGCTGTGGCGGCGTGGTGGCCGTGCGTCGGTGTTGGTGGCGGTAGGCAGCGCGTGTGCTGCGGCGTTGTGGTGCTAGTGCCGTGAGGCAGCGCGTTGGCGGCGACGGCGCGGCGCGGAGGCCGCGAACAGCAGCAACACGGAGGTGGTTGGAGACCTGCGCGCGGCAGCGGCGCGAAGTTGGTATGGTGAAGGCACGAAGGCCACGCATGGGCAGCGGTGGCCGCGCGTGGGTGGCGGCAGTGACATTGAACAGGCGGTGTGGCGCCGTGGCGGCACAGGGGCCGCGCAGGCTGTGGAGGGCGCAGCGGCTGCATGAACTACAGTGGAGCAGCAGCGTGTGGCCGCATGGTCTGTGGTGACTCAGAGGCTCAAGAGTTCATCCTCGCAGGGGGTGGGTGGATTCGGTGAAGGACGGCCTGGTGGTGAAAGTCGGCGGCGTGACACTATTGTGCTGCTACAGCTGATGGTTTGCTGGCGATGGTCCAACTTGACTAGATGCAAGTCCTTCTTGGTTTCTCTGTTGTCTCCATGTGCTACGATCGTGCTGTCAAGTGCGCTACCTTGGTCGACGGAGCGAAAGCCTGGACGACGACGTCTGCGGACGCCGCTTCCTCTTTGGAGGCATTGACCCTGTCCTATATGCTAGTTTCCTTGGGTGAAAACCCCGCCTATTCGTGGGCCAGCAACGACGGCGCCAATTGGTGTCGTGACCTTCCTGAAGGCATTGTCGTCGTGGAAATTAAGCATCGTGTCCAGCGCCCCTTGACTGGTGATGGCAACCATTTGCGGCCTATGGGAAGTCGGAGCTGCTGCATCGAGGTTGGTGAGCTTGGCAACGATGGCTCGAAGCTGTGTTTGGTTTGTGTGGCAGTGGTTGGCCAGGAGAACCTTGTAGACTTTTTATCTAGTCAGTTGTTGGACTTGGTGGCACCTTGGTGCTTGACGAGCTCCGTCGCTTGTCATAGTTGTATACAGGGTGTAGTCGTAGTCTGTAAGTAGTGGTGGTATGTTGTATAGTTTTTAGGCCCGGTTTTCCTTATAAACTGGGTTAATTCTCTTGTTATTAATATATGCCGGAACAATATGTTCTCGGATCTTTCAAAAAAAAAAAAACAGAGTTCGTAGCCATTTCCTATATCAGAAACCCTGGCTTGCACCATGCTTGTTTTTGGACTATTTAATTTTCTGCTAACAGTTAAGGCTTTTTTTTTTACATTGATTTATTTATATCAGGTATAAAGCACAAAAATGGATCCTCTCATCTATTGCTGAGACTGTCCACTAGTCTCTCGTGTTCTTGTGCTTGCTTGCTGGGATCTGCCTTGGCTCACAAGGAGCACGAGCCAAACGATATGATTCTTCACTTCTCCTTCTGGCTCTAAGTTTTAGGTCAGTATTGGGTACAGTGATTCAATTTAGCAGGCCCAATTTATTTATCATATAACACAGCTCTAAGTTGGACTAGATTTAGATCCAATTGAGTAATAATACCTCCTTATTGTACATTCACTTACTGTGTGTGTAGCTTGTTCTACTCATCCATAGAGCGTAGAGTAGTGATGCTTTGCCTGTTTTTGCACCTGCAGTTTCTTTATAATGGCGAAAAAAACTGGTAAGCTTGTCTTCAACGACAACAACAACCAAGCCATTCAGTCCCAAGCAAGTTGGGGTCGGCTAGAGCCTTTCCAATTCCAAGCACTAGTACAGGATCATTGTGAGCTAAAATCCAGAGAGTTTAGTCTACTGGAGAACACTCTAGTACAGGATCATTGTGCAATCCCGACTTGTGTACCATTGGATTTTCTGAAGGTCATCACCAGTGATTTCTCCAAGCAGCAAGAACTAGGAAGAGGTGGGTTTGGAGTTGTTTATAAGGTATATCCATCATACCTCTCTGTATCAGTATATCTTTCTTTCTTCTTCACTTATGACTAAATTCTCTAATATATGGGGATGGTACAGGGCCTTCTTAAAAATGGGAAGGCGATAGCTGTGAAGAAGCTTTCTGAAATGAACCTAGATGACGATCAGTTCCATAATGAAGTTACTTATCTTTTCGGGTTGAAGCACAAAAATATTGTCCAGCTAAAAGGTTATTGTGCTGAATCACGGTGGGAAGTGGTCAAATTACCCAGGAAATATGTCTTGGCTGAATCTCGGAAAAGGCTGCTGTGCTTTGAGTGTTTAAATAATAAGAGCCTTGATAAGCACCTTTCTGGTATGATAATATTATAACATTCTTAAATTAATTTACAAATGCAATTATATTACTTGTATTCTTTTTTAGTACTGGCTAAATTTCTTCTGATGGAAACTTTCCACCTAGTTCGAGTCTTTGGCTTATCATAGGTTTAGTTGTATTTTCCCCAATTTATTCTAGGAAGGACTAATATATCATATATGCATAGCTGGGTTTCTTTATAGTGGTCAAAGTATGCGCCTACCGCCCAAGGTACCTAATGCTAGATCTACAGATTTGTTTAGAGGTGTGCTAGGAGGAAGCTGCGTGGTCGCGTGGGTGTATATGGGCATGAGTATGATGTACATCGGTAAATGGTTTAATTTGTGTCCAACAATATATTGTCTAAAACTGTTATTTTGTTAACTTTTCTCTTTAGATAGATATTCGCTGCAGCAGTGCCAGGACCACAAGTGGGTGATCTCACGAATTTCTTCATTTATATGTTCCTATACAGCTGAATCTCATGGGATCGAGTGGCATATGAGATATGAGATTATCAAAGGAATTTGCCATGGTTTGCATTATCTTCACACAGAATGCCAAATTGTTCATTTGGACCTTAAGCCTGAGAATATATTGCTGGATGACAATATGGAGCCAAAAATCACGGATTTTGGTACGTCCAGGCTGTTTGGCCTAGAACAATCCAAAATTATCACCAAAACTCGTGGAGGAACACTGTAAGTTAAATTAAATAGTTTCATTTTCATTTTCAGAGTGGTATATATGAACCTTGTTTTGTACTCCATCTAACCATATGTATTCTCATGCTGCAACGCAGTGGATACATGGCACCAGAATACTTACTAAAAGGGTTGATTTCAGTGAAGGCCGACATATTCAGTTTGGGCGTTATAATCATAGAGCTGATGACTGGAGGCAGGAATTATCCTACTCGTGAGAAATCTCGCAAGCAATTTGCTGTTGATGTAAGCTGAAAGATTCCTTTCCATATTTCTCACACCAAAGAAAGTTATATATGATTGCATCTTCAAATATGTATTGACACATGATTACTATATATACGCTACGGACAACAGGTCGTTGGACGCTGGGGGAAGAGGTTATTGGAGGAGGCAGGAAGGTACGTACCCTTGGAAAAATACGTTGAGCAAGTAGAGGCGTGCATCTTGATAGGACTGTTGTGTGTCGATGCTGACCCAAATAAAAGGCCCACGACATTGGACATTATTGAAAAGCTTACCAAAGTAGATGTTACCAACACTGACAGAGGGACACCCAAAAGTACGGACGCAAGAGGATTTACAGGCCGACCCCACCTCGCAACTAGATCATTTCTTGACAGGTTCTTGGCGCTGAAGAATATGTGTGGAAAAAACAACGCAAGACGAAGAAGCGAGGACATTTTGCTGAAGGAACGGCTGGAGCAGATCCGGTCGGTACTGGAGGATGGCGCCAGGGCCAGGCTCAGTGATGAGGAGGACCACATGCCGTCGGTGTCGGTGCATCATGAAGACTGGGAGGCCTTGCAACGACAGCGCGAGGTCCAGGTTCTGACTATGCAGTCTGAGATCAGTGACCGATCTAGGAATTCAGAGCTGGGTGTTCCCAAATCGAAGTTGTCTAAGCTACGCCCCACCGCGCCGGTGTGCATGTCAGCAGTATGGTTGGCGGCCGGCATAGTATTCCTGTGTGGATTGACTTTAGGAGAGATGATAGGATCAAGGCGGACGAGGGTGAGAGGATCAAGGCGGACGAGGGTGACGAACGCACGTGATGCCAATGTGCCCACATGTGATTGAGGGGCCGAGTAAGTTCCTAGTGGGATTGTTGGTGATCGAGGTGATGATGGGCTCCGGACTATGGTGTTTGATAAACACCTGGCAAGAAAATGTCACTGCTGTGGACCAAGCATGAGTTAAGCAGCACTTGGGAGAGTACATATTCTACATTCATTTACAAATTCTGTATTAAGGAACTTGCGTATTGAGGAGGTGGACCAGGTTGTATTGTTTCTGCTGGTGTCTTGGCATATATATGCCACGGAGTGTATCGGATGAACTTAGAACAGAAAATATGCAATAGAACCGTGTTGGGGGGAACCTTACGTCCTCCAGCTACCGTCTCTCGATTCTATCCGGATTGCTTCTCACATCCCGGCGATTCTAGTGGGGTTACCGGTTTCCGGGCGACGGCGAATATCATCGTGCTTGTGGCAGCGCCACGGCGGTATCTTGCATCGGTGGCATTATCGGGGGTTTCAGGCTACGGTGGACATCACGTGGAGTCAGACTGCATTGGTGACGATCTCAACCCCATCACAACTCCGGCGAGTCGGTGTTCAGATCTCGCGCATTGGTCAAGCACTACTGCACAATTTATATCACGACCGGTTTGTAACCCCTTTACAGCCGGTTTTCATCACCGGTGTTTGTGAAAGTTGATGATAACCAAGTTTTCACCGTTCAGCCTGTTCGCTTGTTGATTTTAGTCAGGGCTTATCAGCCAGCCAACAGTATTTTTCTCTCACAATAAACCAGCACCAGCCGGGCTTATCAGCTCAGAAACCAACCAGTGAACAGACCAATTGTCTCGAAACCGGTGGTGGTAAACTTCATCACCGTCAGCTCGACGTACGGTGATAAAGTGGATATCATCGTCGGTCTGGCGTATGATCCGATGATGATGTCTTGATCATCAACGCCGGGGCAGCGTTTTATTCGGCGGTGATGTCTTGATCGTTGTCCCCATTTTTACCATATCACCAAAGGGTTTGTTTGTGTAGGCCGGCGGTCATAATACAGTTTCAGAATGCTAATTCAAATTAGCATAGTAATTAATAGCATCAGTAATGCGATCACACCAGGCCCACAACCTACACAATTACCCTGTTCGCTTGTTGGTTTCAGCCAGACTTATTCAACCAGCCAGCAGTATTTTTCTCTCACAACAAACTAGCACTAGCCAGCCTAAATCAGCTCAGAAACTAACCAACGAACACACCGAATGCATCAAAATATACATCGGGGTTCGAGTCACGGGTCCATACATCAAATCCAACCACAATGTTCTCTCAAGAACGTGAGATATAAGTTTGAGAACACAAGTCTAAGCTAACACACAAATATACATGACATGCTTTTACCAGGTGAACAAGACGAATCAGAGTTGCATCTTGATTAGATAACACACAATGGTCTCCATATTGATTCACGACTTGGTCCATAATGAAATCAGCAAACTCTTCTTGAAGCGTCTCTATCTCTATATCAATCAACTCCACATTACTTGACTTTAACTCTACTTCTTGGAACACAAGAAAAAAAAGGTGAAAACGCTATCAGGACATGCAACCTGTTCAGCAGGCTGGGCTTTCGTATACGATCGTAAATTTCCAGCTGGAACATTATTTTTTTCTCACACCAAACCAGCCAAACCAGCTAGCAGTAAATAATCCACGATCGTTTACGGCCTGCCAAACAGACTGATGCATTGCAATATACCAAAATTAGTTAGCTAGGTTGCCAATTGACCAAATTTAAGAACCTATGTGCCGGACTAGCAGTCTCCAATGAGGGTGCGCATATAATGCATGACATAGAACCCGTATTGATCATTGCGAAAAGGCTATGTTGTGATCCAATTGGCCTCATTTCTAGTAAACCCGAAATTCAAAAAAGGTCAATATTCTCTTTTTCGGTACTTCTCAAAACCCCTATGTGACATATTATAGAGTGAATATGATTAGATCGAAGCTATTAAAAATCCAATATTTGGCAGAATGGAGTGATTAGCTTGTTTTCGTGTCTATGAAGGGTTGGATATGCGTTCGTTCTCTCCTTCTCATGTCAAAAATGGTGAGAGTGCATTTCTCTAAGTTCATGTCGAGAAGACAAAATGGCTACTACATTTACAACACACCGATGCAAATTAGGCTCAACCTTGACATATGTAATAAAAATAGGGACAAATTACGGACACCTACGTGCGGTTGTAGGGTAGAAGTATGGATGATTTTTCTTGTTGGACAAACAAGCCTTTGTCAATTCATGGTTAGCACTATTGTCCTATAGTGTGCTCTCATTATGTTGACTAATTATATTTGACTCTATTTTATGTCAGATAGGGTCTACGAGAAGCACCGCAAAAAAGAGCAACAAACATAAATCTTTTTCGTCATTCAGTTCACTGTAAATGAGGCCAATTCGATTGAAAAATATCCTTTTGGTAACGATCACCGCAAGTTCTATATCATGCATTACATGCACACCCTCATCAGAGACGGCAAGTCCTACAGTGATGATCATGTTTGTATATTTGGTCAGCTAACAACACATCATATTCTACGGTTCTACCCCCACGCTTTGCTCTTCTAAGTTTTTATTATGGCTCAATATTTATTTGGAAGAGAGATCTAAACCCATGCTCCCAACACTAGGGATGGGGTGATGGATGGAATCCAATTCTAGTAACCCCAAACTCTAAACCCATACCCATCACTGACATTTATGCCATCACTTTTATTCATCTCAGAAAAACTTGTCTACATTTGAGACGTACTGATATTTAGAGGGCGTGAAAAATTAGTACTTTGGTTCGTTACTACAACTTGTCACGCCGTAGTTTTTTTAGACTGTTTGGTTCAGGTCATAACTATGGTGTGTCAATTTTTTTTAGTAGGGGTGTAAACGGATTGAATACAGTCGGATATATATATATATATATATACACACACACACGAATACGAATACTTATAGCCACATTTAAGTTTTCGGATGGTACGGATAGTAAATCTACGGATTCAAATACAGTGAATTTCAGACGGATACCCTTCGGTCGGTCGGTCAAAAAATATTTCATACCGTGTACGCCCCTGTTCTTAGCTATATGCAGCATAGGTCGTGAACTTATTTTGGTGCCAAAGTTATCATAATGTGGCGCGACTATATTATTTTTTTGTGGCTATCAGACTTTATCTAACCTTACTTCTGGAAAAGTTAGTACTAATAATCAACAAACAGGCTTGTGAAGGATCTGACAACTACTAGATAGAACTCTGTATTACTGTTTGGCCATCACAGTTCTCGCTAGTGATAAGCGACTGCCTCCCTTGTCCCTTGTATGTAGGGACCCAGTGTAAGAGACAAACCACAACTGGAGGAGGACCCACATCCACATTTGACTATGTGAGCTCTTCCTCTCCTCCGAACTTCCATGGCCGCCGCCTCGCTCTCCGCGGCTCCGCCTCTTCTGTTCCCTCTGTTCTGCGTTGCCTGCATTCTTTCCGCCCCTCGGTTCTTCTGGATGAGTGGATCCAACACCACCTCCGGACGATTCAGCCCCATCCCCATCCTAAACCCGCCGCATGGTATGGTATCTCCTGCCCCGCAGGCCGCAGCCGTCGCCTCCTACCACCACCGGTCCCGCAGCCAACAAGGCGGGTTCTTCAATTAACCTATGCAGCACCAGCACATGGGTGCGAATGCCTCCTGCCGCGCTCGAGCTGCCGCCCCGTCAAGGAGACCCGTGGCTGGATAATTAGTCCACGCAGAGATCGATGAAGAAGCAGAGAGATGCAGATAGAAACGGGCATATGGCATACCCGTACCGGCCCATTGGGCATACCCATGGGGATTAGTAAAATTAGTGAATGGATATGGGTAAATCCTGGATTTGGTTACAGTTATCCACGGTTTTGGCCAATGGCATTGCTAGATCTGCCCCTAATACTACATCTGTGTGAACAGACAGTATGATCAACCATAACAATTAAAAAGTCAGCATGAGCTACCAATGAGCACCAACACCAACAATGAGCTAGCCAAAAATCGTTGACAAATCTTTCATTGGAAAAAGAATCGTCTCATTGGCCTATGTAAGAGATGTAAGGCGAAATCTTGCCATTGCTTTCTCCTTCGTCTCACTCTTTTGACCGTGTTGGAAGCATGGTTGCCCAGGCAGTCATTGAAAAGGACAAGATGGTCATATTAATTGTAATAGGCTAATAGCATAAGTTCCGGGCCCACATTGTGAAGACATTATTTTTCTTGGTCTTCGTTCCATGAAGCTGCAAAAAACTCATCTCTTGTTGGTCGTTGTTCTAGGGCCTTGCTGCATCTTTGCTACAGCAGAAGCAACTCCTCCACTCTGCCTCGAGGTTTGATAGTGGCTCCAGCAGGGGCTTGATCTGCAGCACATGCTTGTTTCGCTTCACCGATACTCAGGTAGCATATTTTGTAAGTTCACAGTTTGTTCAATGTTGGTTCCAAAGTTCAGATTGTTGACTGAATGCAATCTCTGAAAATTGAATTGATTTTGTGAGATTTAGGTCTGGAGGTCACGAGCTTAAACTTGTGACTCTATATATGAGCAAGTCAAGCAAACACAGACAACCACCATGGCAGAGGCAGTTGTTGGAGTGCTGATTGGCAAGCTAGGTGCAGCCTTGGCGAAAGAAGCAGCACCCTACGGTGCATCCCTGCTTTGCAGGGAAGCTTCTTCCCTCAAGGGTCTGTTTAGGGAGATCCGCAAAGCCGAGAGGGAGTTAGAGAGCATGAAGGCATACTTGCCCAGTCAGAGACCCTCAAGGATGAAATGGAGCATCTCTTGGTGAAGGAGGATGAGAACCGACATCGATGACCAGAGTATTTTGACAAATTGTTCAATGGTGAGAATATGGACACAACGGATGACTCTTTTAATGACATCAATAGGCGCTTTGTACGGAGAATCCAAGAATATGAGGTCAGAGAGACGTTGAAAAGGATGAAAGGAGGTAAGGCGATGGGACCGGATGGTATCC